AAATTAGATTCTGCACACAAAAATCAAATTTTCATAATCGGCACACAATTGTATAATCCCCGGAAAAAGTTTTCTCAATTACGAAAAATTGTAAAATCTATGCATTCGATTATTAAATAAATTTTGTTTGCATCTGTGATGGATTATCGATTGATATGTAATGATATCTATCATTTCATTGGATGAATGAAATTTGGATCAGATTTGTGAAAAAGAATAGATTTAAATAAAATGCAACATTTATCGATGACTACTCCATCATTCACACATTCAGTCATTCCGATCACAATGTCACCACTTCTCAATTGCTCCTTTTCAAAAGCAAATTTCACAATAATATTCTTTTTCCTGCTAATAATTAAATTTTTCCGGAATTCGAATAATTTTTAATAAGTTTATGAAAATTAACAGTTTCATGTATTCTCATAAATTTTTCCGGAAATAATAACCTAATGTATCACAATAAATCCGGAAATACTAATCTGACATATCTGCTGGTGTTTATAATAAATGAACAGCGAAAGCGTAGACTTCTTAACCATTTTCCGCTTCCTTCATTATCCTTCTCTGCGTATCTATCCATATCTCTGTATTATCTGTTCGTGTATGTGTATGTATGTATGTATGTGTATATACACATAAGAACGCGTATATATGTAAATGCGTGCGCATGTATGTATACGTGTGTGTGGTGTATGTTTGTGTATGTGTTTGTATGTTTGTTCTGTATGTGTGTGTGTATGTTTATGTATGTGTGTGTATGTGTTCGATATAGACGTTTGCTACGATTAGTCTAACGAAATATTGTTTTTGGTGAAGAGGAAATTTTGCTTGGCATAGACATGGGTTGTAATAAAAAAAGAAAAAAGTTAAACCTCCGACATGCGTAAACCTAAAGGTACCAGCTGTTACACACGCCATCCCCGATAAATCTTAGAGGTGACGTTAACTGGTTTTAACACAATAATTAGCGTTTCCTTCGTTTGTCATTTTTTGAGAGCTCTCAGCTCTCAGCTCAATGCTCAGTGAAATTTTGAAGTAATCAAATACTCTCTCTCTTCCTCTCTCTCTCTCTCTCTCTTTCTCCCTTTTTTCTTTCTTCCTCTCTCATAGTTGCTTATCTTATCATAATAATAATAGCTTTTTTGTTCTTTCTGTTAACAAATTAATAGTGTTATACACTAATTTTTTTTTCTAAACCACTATTGAATCATCTAAAAAATTTTAAACAAACTTTCTCTCTTAAATTACCACAAATTTATTCGATCAATCTTAATTTCTTAAAACAAAACTAATAATGTTTGTTATATAATTTTAGCTTCTCTTTTTTTTTTTTGTCTAACAAAAGATTAATTAATTAAGCAAAATGATCGATTCGAATTATCGAAATAAACTAATTTACAATGTTTGAAATGAATTTAAAATACTTTTTTTTTTTTATTGTTGAAAGAATTTCAAAATTAAAATTTCAAATATTTAGTAAATGGGAAAACAAGGAAGGATTCATTTTACCTTTCACTTTTTCTTCATCGATTATGTATGTAATAAGGATTGCTAGAGAAGGTTAGCAAATAATAGGCTAAAAGTTTTCAGTTAACTTTAGCAAAAAGAGCCTATTATCTTTCAAGTCTTATTGCCTAAAGGATCAAACTCAGGCTAACATAGTTTTGTGATGTTTTCTCTCGAAGGCCATACGATTATTTCTATCCATTCTCTCTCTCTCTCTCTTCCAGTCAAAGATTTTTCATCATTTTTTGCAAATCCCTTTTCTCACTTCTCTCCTTATTTATTTAATTTCTTATGGTTAGTGCAAACTTTTGTTGAAATGAAAATTTGAAAAGTACTAATAGTATAATGTAATCTTAATATATTATCATTTAATCCATCGCTAAACGGCTGGTTTTTATCTTTCCTGAAATTTCACCGATATATTGGCTTTTCACAAATATTTCAAATAATTTGACAGCTGGAAAAGTATTCATTCTGCCACATCGTTAATTATCATTAATGAATATCTTTTGAAATTACTATATGAATTAAAATTTTAATTCGAAATATTGATCGAAGTTAATAAGAATTAAAATATTCATTACTGATAATACGTATGTATAGAGTAGGAAGTTTATAGGGCAAAAGAGGGTTAGTTTTTAGGATCTTAGAATCTATTTTTTTTTCGCTATGTAACCATTAGATAGATTGCAGATGGATTGACGGGATGATGGATCATTGACGGGATGATAGGATTTTTTCTTCAAAAATTTCTAAAATTTCCGACAAACAAAAATTGCCTCTTTTTCCGATGACATTTAAGCATATTTAAATTAACCTGAGATAGGTAACCTACCTTGCAAATTATAGCTTAATAAATGAACTTAATTGCAAGAGATCATTCGGATTATGGGAAATTAAAAATAGACGAGGAAAAGAGCATGACAATTTGAGAGGAAACTAGGGTTTGCTAGATTATCGAACATTATAGTATTGGGAATTGAAGAGGCTTATAGAGAGTAAACGGTTTCCGAGTAAGCGAATAGGGAGAAAGGAAATGAGGAACAACAGAAAATATATTATTTTCCTGGTGTGGTAAAGATCGAGAGTGCTAGCAAGTGTTAGCAAAAACTTTTTCCGGATTGTTCAAATGGCAACACCGTCTTGTGAGGTTTACGGAAAAGGTTAAACCAAATTTTGTTTGGAATTACTTTGAACATATGTTAATGTTTTTCGGGTTTTGCTCTACAAAAGAGGAAAAACAAAAATTGAAAATTTAGTTTTATTCATTTCGTATTTTAACAATTTTAATGAATAAATAATAAATTGGATAGAAAAATATGAAAATAAAAAGAAAATTCATTTTCCGGTAATTTTCCGGAAGTTGACAGTTTCTTTTCGATCTGAAATTTTATCTTCATCATCCGTATAGCTTCCTATAGAATTATTAGCATATTTTGCATTGTTTTTTTTCTTTGTAATTATAGGATTTTCCTGAAAGAATATTTTCATTCTATCGGCGCTATTATTTAAATTTAAAAAATATTGAAAATTGAAACGAAATTTGAAATTTTTTTTTTCGGATAGAAAAGTCGTATAATTTCATTAGCTTCATTAACTCAAATATATTATCGGGACAAACTATTTAATTATGTTATGATTAAAGGAACATCATTCAACTTCATTAATGAGAAAGCAGGTTGAATGATGAGAGAGAGATAGCGAAGGGACAGAAGAGAAAGATGGGATATGACCTCATTTTATTTGAATTGGTTGCATTTGAAAAAAATGCAACCAATTATCGATGTAATAATGAATGGAGGAATACTATACATTTATTTCGTTTCAGATATTTCACTCATAGTTATTCGATTATTAAAATTATATGATAAATTAATTATCAAACTTGTTAATTATTTAATGAATTAATCATTCGATTCATTTTTTTTTTTATTTAATAAATTAATTTCTTTATGAAACTTTCTTCTTCTCTGTCATCATACGATCGTCTCATTTATTGTCATTCATCATTGTTATCCATATCTCTGTGTTCATTTCAACAATGTTAAATGATATTTCTTTCTCTCTTACAATTAATTATTCTTACTGTTAATTTAGGTTTTCGTTCTCTCCTTTAATTAATTATTGTTACGTGAATTTAGGTTAGAAAATGCGATGCGGAAGTTTAAATATTCATTATTCGCAGACATTTTGCTTACCGAAATGTCTCACAAAAATAGCTATTACATTTCACTTCTAATCGTTTTGTACTTAGTCGAAAAAATTTGAAAATTCGCTCATCTTCATCATACGAATAAAATAATAAATTTTTCGAAATTTTAAATTTAAAAAATTTGTACTCATTATTTACCTGCCATAACCATTTATAACATAGTAAAGGTAGAAACAATGGAGTTATGATTAGATTTCTTTAATGAATTACTGCGGCATACTTTTTTGTATTCAGTTGATAAATTTTGCTCATTCATTCAATTTAGATCGATTTTTAAATATTCCTTCCAGTTTACGACAATATAGTAAAAGTATGATACTTTTACATCAACTTAGATGATGACATTAAAGGACAGGAAGTTGTTGTAATGAAAATATCATGAAGCAAAGATCGTTTAAGTTTACAGGAGGGTATCAAAAGAATATTATGGTTACCATTCAGTAGTGCTATTCAATTTTTAGTTGTAAAATGAAGCAAATCATGCACGGTGCTTTATATCTCTTCGTATTATGTTATTATATTTTCATTCCAGATATGCATTTCCGGAAAGTTCGCTTCATTATTTTTTAATTTCCGCCGACAAATTTTATTTCTGATATGTTTTCGGTGTTAACAATTTTTATCAATTCATTTCTGCTATTCGCTTATTTTGTTACGGAACACGTAAGTTTACCGTTATTATTCCATTTTTGAAATTCTTTTTTTTATATCTGATTTTATCTTTAAAAGACGGAAAAAGTTATTTTCATTGATGTATGGAAGGTAGAAAGTGGCACCATCGTTACGTTTCCTAATGAACATAGATGGATAGATAATGAAAGTGATTAATCAGAGCTGAATGATGAGGAGGTATATTCGGCGTACGTATACATCGAGTATCATAGTTATATTAGCTTACGTGTAAATCAAAATACCATCCGCGTAGAGTATTGGGAACCGTGGATTTCCGTGCATTCCCGTAGAAATCTTATAACGGTGACTATTTTCTGTAGATTTCATCAAATCGACATTCGTTGTTTAATAATTATCCCAGAAATGGTCATATAAGAAATTTATAAAGTATATAAGTTTGAAGTTAATGAAATTATTTTGAAAATTCGATTTTAAAAAATTAGGTTCATTATCTGCACACAATTATCGGTAATTGTATAACCTGGAAAAAGTTTCAGCTTGGTGAGTTATAAGATCATTCTCCAATTGTATAATATATTTCCAAATAGTTTATGAACATCCTAGCATAATTTATATTACTTTCTAGGCGCTCTTCTTTGGTGCAGTAATGTTTGCATTACTGATTGCTTTCAAACTTAATGCCCACTTTACCAAACTTACCGATACGGAAGACAGTAGCGACAATGAAAGTAATTCTTTAATGATTAAATGCAATTTTCACTTACCTATTAAATTGTAAGAAGCGAGGTTTAGTTTTCAGACTCCACATTTTCTTCTTTCTTTGATCGGGATTGAATAATTTCCTTCTTTGAGCATTTGAGCAAAATAAGCTAAAAGCTCGGCATACTTAATTATTTTCAACTATATATATTTTCCATGACTTGAATTTGAAATTTTATGAATTGATTTTTTCAATTTTATTATTTTTATTAATTTTATTAATTTTGAAAAATTTCACTAGATTTTTAATTGGCTGCTGGTAATTTTATTCACCCATGTAAAAATGATTTGTTTAATCTTTTTGACGATGGATAAGAGACAACCTTATGCCCATTAGAGATACAAAGTATAAGCTTCGAAGATTCGAAGTAAGGATATTTAAAAAGTAAGGATATAAAAAAAGAAAAACAGCCAGTAATCTTCATTAATTGTTAAGGTGATCGCCGTGGCGTTTCATCAGTTCGTGAAAAAGAAGAAAATAACGGTTCAGATCGTCCAAGCAGTCGAACTTCCTTGGAATTAGCGCGCAGTCGACGTCTGGAAAAAGATAGACGAACGGTGAATTGGGTTCGAGATGCTCGGAAAATCTGTCACCAATTAATGGTAGTATCATCATCATCATTACATTATCACCATCAACATCGTCAGTATCATCATGTTTCAGCCTCAGTCGAATTCCTATTTAATTTCTCATTTTCCTTCTCTAGATCCATTTTCGTTCTTCTGTTTGTCATCTTTCGCTTTGGTTCTCTTCTTTTTAGTTTCTTACATAGATGATTCATACTGAAGAGTCGATTCTCTTGGCGGAACTGGAATTTCGAATAGAGCGTGGATTAGCATAGATAGATTCATCTCAAGTTTTGCCATTTCAAGATGAAAAATTTAAAAGTCATATGGAGCAAAGTTGTGTTGTGATCATTCTTAGATTGGACAATTTAGGCCTTAAGTTGCTAATCTTTAAAATTCTGAAAACATAATTTTACATAAAAGTTGCATTGGTAGGATTTTCTAAATGAAACAGTATAAGCTTTTTGCAAATTGTACGACGGATACCGGCTTTGCGGTCCTAAGAAAGTACGCAGTGCGGTTTAGTAGCGAGCCTGTCTTTTTTAATATTTGCAATTTATATGAGTTCGAAGTTGTTTTTAAAATTTGTTCGTTTGTGGAAGAACGAAACGAGGCGACAAAGGAAGGAATCAAATAGTTAGTGTCCTATAGTTGAAAAAGTTGGCAACAATTAAGAAATGTGTATGATGGAAAAAATTTTTTCGAAAATTTCAGAGATTAGATTTTTCTTTTTTGAATTCGGGCTCCGATTTCTAGTGCTTTTGGCTGTAAGAACATCATAATATGATGATACTATTAGATTTTTGCTGGGATTGCTTGTTTGGTTTCTTTGTTAATAATATGATTGAAACGATCATGAAGAAGACTAACGTTTTCCTGCTTAATTTTAAGGAATAATTCGCTTGTGGGATAAGATGATATGATGTCGGGAATAAGAGCGTTATCATGAAATTCTCACCTACAAGTAACGAGTAATGATGAGATACAAAAGATGAGGTTCTAAAGTGCTTTCAGGAGAAAATCGGCCGTTTGATGTATTTTTCTTTCTGGGAATCTTTGATTTTTCCATGCTGTTCTCCTAAAGTTCATATATTTTTATTTATTTTATTACCGATTTTTGTTCAAGTAAAAAAACATAAAGTAATATGCAGGTAAAATTATATGACTATTTTGATGGCAAGAAATTGATACATTTTCGATGATGCTATCTTATATATGAACCTGTAAAATGCTGTATGCAGCTGCATGCACGCAATAATTGAAGCTATTTTGTACAATTATCACCTTTATACTAGATAATTTAAGGATTTTTTAGTTTCAGAAATCAAATTATCTACCAATATCAGTAGACAATGGCGAATATCCTCTTTTCTCACAAAGAACACCTATAAGACGTCGGCATTCCAATGTTGGTCCACTTCAGCTTGCTCGTGCTGCAAAAGAGTTTGTTATTGCTCCAATTTCGCTTTACTTTTAGCTGCAGATTGTAAATTCTCTCCATGATTGTTTCTCCTCGCCTTTTTGTTAAATTTTATAAGTAAATATTTGAAACAATTTATGATAATCGGGAATTCTGATTTAAGTTTAGCAATTAAATGAATTTGAAAGAAGTATATGATTTTGATCAATCAGAAATATAATCGTTTCCAACTGATGAAAATCATAAAATTTGCTTTATTTGTCAGTGATGTAAGGAAATTCACGCTTCCTAATTTTTCAGCTTCATTGTTCATGGTAGTAACGCGAAATTCCAGCGACAACTTTCGGAAATGACAAAAAGAAAGTTACCTAAACCTCCTTCTCAGTTTTTTGAACCGTCGGAAGTTCCCAATGTTCCACAAAATGAAAAACCCGAAGTATATTATGTTCTACACAATATCAAGTAAATCTTGTACTTTTTCTTTCCATATCGAAGTTCTTTTATGGAAACTTTCCCACATTTAATAATACCAGGACTACTGAATTACAGAAAATAAATATTGATGCACAGTAAATAGTTTCTGCTATATTAATTCAAATTAAAATCATCGAACTGAGAGCTTTCCTATTTTATTCTAATTCTTATACATTTACAACTGGATGCGCTTTTTTCTTTTTTTAGGATGTTGGAATTGCCACCGGAATGGTATGCACAATGGACAGATCTAGCGGTAGTGGAATATAGGGAGAATGATTATCTAATTAGACCTGGTGATAAAGATAACTGTATCATTGTCGTTTTGGAAGGAGTCATTGCAGTCTTTATAACGGTATATTTCTGAACAAAAAGAAGCAGCAGGGCTAAAAATTGTTTCACTCAGATTTTATGTACAATCATTCAATTTCTTCTTATTTACCATTACAATTTGGATTATAAAAGCATAGTTGAAACTAACATATTATAGCATACTGAAGGAAAAGAACTCATGGTTCGGAAAATTACAGTTGGCGATAGCTTCTTCAGTCTTTTATCGATCTTGGATGTCTTGATGGTGCGATTCAAGTTTTGTTAAGCATTTTTTATCCAAAAACTGTGCTGCTCTTGTTTTGTTATAGTTCAAAATCCTGTTGGATAGTATTGAAGATATTAGTATATTCTCTTATGTTATGTAATTGTCTTCCCAGTTTTGCTGAATCTTTGCTGTTTAATTTCCTTTCAGAATTATGAAGTAATTTTTCGAAATATATCAGTGAGAGCTTTGACTGCATGTCGAATTGCCAGGTTTTTATACTTTTTGATAATTAAAAACAGAATTACCGTTAATTAATTTGGTTAATGATTGCTGTAGCTTCATATAGTAACAAATTTCACAGGTTTTTGATTTTGTTTCATTTGACAGACATATGAGAAATTATTTTAAAATTTGTTCGGCAAAGCCACATTATCTCTTATAGAAGCTGTTTGAAAGAGTTCTGGAAAATTAAAATTTTTGGGACGTTACACGCTGCATGAAAGATGCTTTATGTAAAATAGTGATTCTCAATAAAAGGTTTAAATTAAAAAAGCTATGCATATTTATTTCTCCTAGATTATACTCCTCAAGACTTTCAATTTTTTGAATTTTTGATATGAATTTGAATTTTCAGATACAACACATGAAAATTTGTTATAGGTGCAGCACAAGCACTTTCCGGGATTCATTCGTCAGGAATCCTAAACCTTGGGTTCGACCAATTCAAATCGTCTTGACACGACTTCTACATGTTACGTTGACGACACTTCACCAATACCTTGGTTTGAATATCGAATTAGCGAAAAAGGTGAATTCACTGATATTCATTTCATGTGGATCTGTCTAACAGTACGACTTCCGATTTTTGCTATAAAGCCTAGTTCTTTAGAGCAATATTTCTTTTTCAAGATTCTGCAGAGGGCTTTATTAATCATTCTATCCATTTAATATAGTCGAAAATATACATCTAGTTCATTTCAGCGTTCTGATGAAAGGCGTACTATGGATGAGCGTCATCGGCATCAATTTGGAACCAGTTTTTCTGCTCGTCCGCAAGCCAAGATGCGACCGCGTGCTCATCGTCTAAATAGCATTGATGGTAGATTATTTTTATTTCCATTTAGAATTTAATTTTTTCTCAGTTTTCAGTTTTCTTCAAATACATGACATGGATTCCGTATATAAGCCATAAATTTCATTTTCTGTTTGAGAGTTGAAGGAGTACATGATGACAGCACAGCGATGGTTTGCTGAAGTGCTTCACCTAGGTGTTAGTGCTGAAGCGATAGCACTTTTCGCGGGCCGTATAACCATCGAGAATGTCCCCGAGAAGCATCTTATTGTAGAGCAAAATTCTGAAGACGAAATGTTAATTATAGTTCTCAGTGGTCTTCTAGCTATTTCACAGGTTTTTTTTTGTTCTGCAACAATTAAATTATAGAAATTCGATATGCCTACCATAATTTTATAAAAAATTTGCTACCGAATTAACTTTAATTTTCTTCGGAAACTTAGCTGTTGCTTGCTGCGTAAATCGGTGACAGATAAAATGGCTGAATATGATATCAGTATTTCATTATTTTTTTAATTCTAAAAAAAATTGTTTTGAGGAGCCGATTGATGGTGAGGATGAGAATGTGGATGAAGAACACATTTTAGTGCATCCACGTGAGCTTATTGGTGGATTACAATTACTTACTGGTGAGCCGTGGTTTGTTACAGTTCGATCTCATACATATGCAATATATGCCACTATTTCGAAGAAAGATTTCTTCGAGTTAGTTTTCATCTTCCTCTTTCACTAGTCTCTAATAACGTTATACAAAACAAGGACAGGAAAATTAGTTAAGTTGAGTTGATTTTGATTTAATGAAGTCAATTTTCTCCGTTATTTTTGTTTTTCAAAAAATCATTTGCGGATTTTAGTATAGTCGATGAGTTACTAATATTCATTAGTATTATGCCTTACTTTTTACTATTTTTTTTGATAATTAATGTTAAGATTGGTTGATATCCATCCAGAAATCGTATTGCCAGTTGCGCATTCAGTTGTTCGACGATTGAGTTCTTTTGTTCGAAATGTGGATTTTGCAGTTGACTGGGTACTGCTTGATTCCGGACAGGCTGTATACAAGTGAGTCCTCTTTTAAGAACCTTTTTTTCAGAACTTTTTAATAAGTTCTAAATCCGAAATAATCTATGTCAGAATTAGTTACCTTGTTTAGAAGTGGTGATGTAGCTGATTCAATATTCGTCCTTTTAAGTGGACGACTTCGATCTGTGGAAGGCAAAAAGATAATCGAAGAGTTCGGACGAGGTGATGTTTTAGGGATGATTGAGGTAATATTTTCTTCAATACGTTGGCATGCTCATTTTTGTTAGATTATTTGTACTTTTGAAAAACTTAAATTACGTTGATTATTTATTTAAAACTTTTATTTACACAGTAGAGTTTGTTTAATTTTTTTTTATATAATAATTTTCTTAGTGTATTGGGCTGGCACAGAAGTGGTTGCTGCGTTTTTGTATCATAGAACTTTATTGCTTAACATTGAGGCACATTTCTGGCACATTCTGAAATGTTCATTTTTTAATTTACGTTTTCTGATACTGTTTAACTCCTTGCCATTGATTTTGTATTTTGGACTAAAAAGATGAGGATGATTGACAAAAACTAAATCGAATTATTTTTTTATGTGAGTCTAAAATGGGTTGTAATGCAGCAAACGTAGCTCAAAATCTCAATGCATTAGCTCAAAAACTGTTGGCAGACAAGCAGTGCAGTAGTAATTCAAGAAGATGTGCAAAGGAGACGAGTACCTTGAAAGTGAATAGCGTAGTGATCGGTCATAAAAGATGACAATGAACGGTTGGGAGTATTATTCTTAGCAGTTTCTCTTTCATCACACGTGCTGAAGAACTCAACACAGCTTCCGACATATTATCTATATACCTTCGGATTTCAAGCAAATTCAAAACATAAAAAAGCTCAATAAGTGGCTGTCTCATGAGCTAATTAATAAACAGGAAAAATGCTTTGAACTATTTTTTCTCTTATTCTATGCAGCAATAACAATCTCTTTTAATCCAATTGTAACACACGACGAAAAGTGAGTTGTAACTGGAAAGGATCTCTTAGTGACTGAATGAAAAAAGTCCTAAAGCACTTCCTGAAGTCGAGCTTCTACCTTCTACTTATCCAGATCCATCACTTGAAAATGATAAGTGCGAATCAAAAATTTTGCAAAAATTGCAAAATTGCAATTTTCTAAAAAAAAATTGCAATTGATAAGTGTGAATCAAAAATTTTGCAAAAATTGCAAAATTGCAATTTTCAGCTAACATTAACCAGTAGAACGAATTCAATTCTTTTTACGACAACACTCGATCATACTTCAGGAAGCCAACATTTTAAAAATTGAACGAACTGATTGCAAACTCTTGCTATCCTTCTTTTGACTCAATGTTTTACAAGATTTTTGGGCCATGAGTTTCAAATCACGATGAAGTTTTAACACATAATAACTAAAGAATGTAGAGACTAGCAATTAACATATTTTCGCCAACGAAAAATATTCTTGTACTACAGAAATTCTTGCTTCGCAGTTCTCCTTTCAACATTTGAGAGTTCCCAAAGTCCCGAAATATATGTTTATATGCTGCGAAAATAAAATTTATTTTACGGTGGCAAAAATGTGTTCATTGTAATGATAATTGCTATTTTTTATTACATATAATGTGTTAAAACCTAATTATATCAATATAAAATTTTTTCAAAAGCGTAGTTATTTTGTATAGGAACTTGAAAATCATACTCTTTATCATCAAACATTTCATACTGCTGTTGACTTTTATAATTTTTTGATTTCCTTTTCAAGTATTCCAGTGAGATCTTCCTATCAAGGTGCATATTTTCCAGGTTCTACAGCGGGTACCGCGTGCCACCACTGTACTTGCAATTCGTTTTTCACAACTGGCACGACTTCCCGAAGGCCTTTTGAATTTTATTAAGATAAAATTCCCTCAGGTGATTTTTAATTTTTTATATGTTGTGTTAGCATATTATCTAGATTAAATTTCGTTGAATTCATTGTTATAGGTTGGATTTCGCCTTGTTCATTTGCTGGGTCAGTATTACACTTCATCGATACAAAGTACATCTACATTTAGATGTGCATACAAGGATGATATTTCAATAACAAGAGGCGATCCACAGAGTCATATTAAGGTAAGCACATAACTTCCAGAATTTTTGATCGTTTTGACTCAGTGATTTGTTCAAATCTCCAAGTTTGATTCAACTGTTGAGGTTTTCAAGATTTTTCAAGTAACGGGGTACAAAGTATTGACTAGTCAGATATAGTTTGGATGTCAGTCGACATTATATGCTTATGTACGTGAAGATTCACTTATGAATTCACAGATGAAGGTTTTAACATCAAATCATGAAATCCTTGCAGAATTTGCATACTATTGCGGTGTTAGCTGCAACACCCGATGTCCCGTTAACTGCATTCACGTGTGAACTATATCACGCTCTTACTGCAAATTTGCGGGTTCTGCGGCTGAGCAGCCAGAAAATAGCCGAATTGTTAGATGCCAGCGTGCTGGAAAAGTAAGCTATTATTTGGATTTGATACAAATCAGGGTAAACTTTAAAATAATGTTCGACTTGAACATCTAAGTTTAAATGTAATGAAGAACTAATAAAGTGAACTTTCTGTGTACTGCTTTGTTTGCTTTTGTGATAGTTCGCTTTCCTTTTTCGTCTGCTATTTCTGTATTTTTCCAAATTGCGGCATATACTTAAATTTATATGTGAGAAGTAATGCAAATTTTTATTTAGGATTTTAATCAATGAGATTTACAAGGGTAATTTTAACATATTTCTTTCTGCATTCTCGTGTTGTGATAAGTTCATTCTACCTCGTGATTAAGTTGAAGTTAGTTAAATACTGATGTGACTTACTTTAAAAGGTTAATATTGATCACATCCGATTTACAAATCTATGTTTGCCATGGGAATGATGAATATCTTCTGGCACTCCTTTCTTTTCATATCATTTATTTCCATGCTTTTGTTTTTGCTTTTCTACAATAGGTCAAACTATATTAAAGTGCATGTGGAATTACTTGACGTGGCACAAGTCTATTTTCTGTCATTTTTAAGAGGATTTAACTGTCTATAAGTTTTTTTTGCATGTGTCACTTATGAATTTGTTGCCATTTCATTTAATCCACTGACTATTATTTACCAAATAGACCGTTTTTTTGATAAACATGGTGATTCTATTTGGGGAGTTTTTTGTGATAGTATATGGAGGTCTGTTTGAATTTAGAATTTCATCACATAAATTCAAAATGCTTCATATGTCATGCAAGCACGTTTATTCGACAATTAAAGCCATATAACAAAACGCTTCACACTCTGAGCGAGTATTATGCGAATTGTAAAATCTGATATAACAACTTCAGTATGTTTTGCCGCCACTTAATTCCAGGTTTCGTTTTTGCGATAAATTTTGGATTAGCGCATAACAGTCTAGAAGTTCTGAATTTGGGAATGCATTCTTTGATTGAATAGAATTTTCATTACTCATGTATATTTTAATGTTTATTGTTAAAATAATTTTGTCACAGGCAAGCAGATTTTCGTCTTATGCGCTGGCTTAATTTGCAAGAAGATACTTATCCATTAATTATTTATGAATGTGACATAAGCGCTACAAGTTGGACACGACGCTGTCTTTGCCAGGCAGATGCAATATTGTTCGTTGCAAATGGTGAGCAAAAGCCACTGCAACAGTCATTAGTTAGTTCTTACTTGACTTTTGTCCATATAAAATTTTAGGGAAACAGTTTTAAAACTGTCCTAAATTTGGCACACTCATTTGAGATAATTCTAAATAATTTTACTAAAAAATAAAAATGAAAAACTTTCCGTAGTATTATTGGTAAAATTTCAGATGGATGATTATTTGAACATGAATGAGGATGGTATTCGAACAAACAAGGAACTAGTCCTTCTTTGGGGTGAAAAAACTGTGGAACCTCAAGGAACAATTGAATGGTTGAAAGGAAGTTGGTTTTCGGGTCACCATCATATCCGTATTCATAAACGGATGGTACAGTGGGACTTGAAGGAGGTCAAATTTAATTTCAAAATGGGAAAACTAAATACGGGGGTGAAAGCATTGAGACATGGCAAATGTTGTTGTACCTGCTGTCAGTAGATTTGTGAGGCTTCATTTTCGTCTCTTTTAGGTATCTGAATCAAACATTGTGTCCTTCTATGAACAAAACATTTATGGTGGAAGGGTTGACAGCGGATCAGATTTTTCAAGGCTAGCTCGAATATTAACTGGAAATGCAATTGGTGTTGTGATGGGTGGAGGTGGCGCAAGGTTACCTTTTATAATTGAAATATATTTCAAAGGCAAAGCATATAGTTTAATTTCCTCGTGATTTTGAATTTAACTTAGCATTAAGCCAAAGTTTTCTTTTTTGCAGAGGTGCAGCTCATGTTGGTGTGCTGCGTGCAATACAAGAACATGGTATCCCTATCGATATGATAGGAGGAACATCTATTGGGTCTATGATCGGTGGTTTGTACGCTCAAGAGATTGAAGACATAGAGCAAAGAGCGAAAAGTTGGTTCATGGTTGGTTGTATTCATTTAGAAAAACTGAAAACGTTTAAAATAAATCCATTTTCTGTAGCGTAGATGTAATATAGTTTAATATCTAACAGTCTAGCAGAGAAGTATGTATTACCAATTAAAACTAATATGCGGTATAAGTTCAGAATGATCGTGTGCTCTGTCGCAGCAACATTTTTTTAATGTTAATTACTAGATTAATTTGACGTTTTTGTTGATTTACGCATGATAGTTTCAATTTCAGATAATTTCAGTACAATCTTAGTACGAACCATTTCATGCTGAGATGAGATTTTATTAATAATTTTTTAATATTTAAACTAGTAACTGACAAACATTTTCACCCACTTCTCTTTCATCTGTGTTTTCCAAATAAACTAGCGATCTTGGCAAGAACGGTTTTCGTTTGGGAAAAAGAATTTACATATTTAAATTCTATCAAAATCATTTATATAAGCAAAGAAGATTTGAATGAGGAAAGAGGATATAGATATGAGGGATTTGCGTAGATTGTTTGACTTGAATTATATTTATTTACCAGCGATTAAAGCTTAATATATTTATTACTTCATTACGAATTCAGTATTCTTGGCGCTAAAGTATTTGAATTATTTAGAAACGAGTACAATGAAATTATTTTAGTTGTACAAGTTTCAAGCAGATGAAAATTTGTGTTCCAAGAAAAGTTTATCGAACTTAACTTGCAGATGATGGCTTCTATTTGGCCAAAAATATGGGATTTAACATATGCCCACTCAGCGATGTTTACTGGTGCCGGTTTCAATCATGGTCTCCAAGATTTATTCTTGGACTCGCTAATCGAAGATTTGTGGATACCATATTTTTGCATAACCACAGATATAAGGTAGGTCAAATAAGTAACACTTTTTGTGTGTTAGCTTGTGAAACAATTTGAAGTTCCGGGCTTCTGAAATGTAAATGAGCTCCTTTAGCAATTCGGAAATGCGGATACATCGAACTGGTCCATTATGGGCTTATTGTCGAGCATCGATGTCGTTGGCCGGTTATCTTCCTCCTCTCTGTGATCCAATAGATGGCCATCTGTTATTAGATGGTGGTTATGTCAACAATTTACCAGCAGATGTGATGCAGTAAGTCCAGTCTTTAAATTAAATAAAGTCTAATTTTAAAAGTACACATGGTATAAAAATCGTGAAAAATTAGGCAAATGAAAGGTCGTAAAGTAATGCGATTGGGTTATCCTCAGAGTAACTATATCAATGATGAGAAGAAAGGAAAGGTTGGTACCGCAGAGATCAAAATTATAGGATAATTAAATAAAGGTAGTGATTTAAGAGTAAATTTTCTATAAAAATAAGAATGAAACGAAACTCTCATTGATTCAACTTACTTCCTTATCACCATAGTTGAATGCACAGTCTGCTTGTACAGAGTTAAAAAATAATCGTGACAAGGTTAAGTGAATTTGTAGACAATTTAACCGCGTATTCCAAAACCAAAAAAAAACAATACAAGTTTTTTATTTACAACAATTATTAATTTTGCAAATACACCAAGAGTTTTGTTACTTTGACAAAATTACGGAATATGGAGGTTTTCATCGAACGTCATAGTCTCGAGCTGAAATAGACCTAAAATGCAATTAATAGATTTTGGAATTTTCGAAACTTTTTGTCAGGACTTTTTGATAATTTAATTCAGATCTATGGGTGCTAAAATAGTAATTGCGGTGGATGTTGGTTCTGCTGCCGAAACAAATTTATACAACTACGGTGACTCTTTGAGCGGATTTTGGGTACTACTGAAAAAGTTAAATCCATTTGCTGAACCAATCAAAGTGTTGAATATGGAAGAAATACAAGTATTGCATTCATATTTTCAAATTCGATATTTATTAGTTTTCGAAGTTTGCAGTATTTCCCCATTTTTAATTTATGTGGTCATGAATTAAGTGGAACATTTTTTAGCTGAAAAATAATGCGAAATTCTATTGTTTGTTTATCTAGCATCTTTACATATCAAATAACGAAAATACATCATTAAGAGTCGTTTGGCTTATGTCTCTTGTGTCCAGCAGCTACAGTTGGTGAAAAACGCAGGATATTGTCAGTATGTACGACCACCCATCGAGGAATTCAAAACCTTGGACTTTTATAAATATGATGAAATACGTGTAAGTTTGTTTCTTTCGTAATTATTATGCCAAAATTTGAATTTAGCTTATTTTTCTTTGTTCATTCTTGAAGAATATTTTGTTCCTTCAGTTTGTTTTTCAATGTTCCAAACTATTTTTAAAATAAGCTATTGACTTGTTATTATTAGGTTTAATTGGATTTCAATAATGTAGAAGTTTCCAGGATGTCGGCTACAAATATGGTTTGAAGGAATTTGGAGAAATGGTGAAGACAAATGAAGATTTGAAGAGTGTTATCGATGCTGAGAAGTTACGCTCACTGAAACGACGTTATTGGGGCCGTGAACCGTCGAAGATGGTTATATGTGATCATGGCCGTGCTTCATCATTCACCAATCTCGCTGCTCAGGTCTGAAAACTTTGATATTTTCCAAAATTAATATTTTTTCTCCAGTTCTGAGTTATGAAAATTACTTTTTTAGTCTAATGAGAATTTATTTTTTAGATCTTTTTTCTCGATAGACTTTATGTTTTTGCTTTTGTGGAAATAGTTTTATCCTGATATAAAGTGGTAATTCTCAGGTGTCAAGAGTTCCCAAAGTACGCGAAAAGAGCAGTTTAAATGATGATGAAATTGCGGAAGATGAACTATCGGACGTTTGGTGGGATGAGAAGGGGGAAGAAGAACCAGATGTACAATCGCAGCCAGCGTATAATTCTGAAGATGTTGAATCCATTGAAGCGGGTTACATCAGTGAACCTTGCACTACTTATCAAAGTAAATACACATTCAGTAGCGAAGATGAAGTAAGCATTGATAAAAGTAATGCTGAAAACAGTCGAAAATGGAAGACCACTTTATCTGAAATAAATCAGAAATGTGAAGAGAAATCTGAAATGCAAAAGGTATCAGAGAAAATATCAGTGGTGCGATTTGGATCGTCAGTATCACCATCTAACGATAAGCCACAAGAAAGTTGAAATGTGATACTTAATTTTGATAGGTCTGCGAAGAAAGTTGATAATAATGGAGTGTGATAAATTAGTAAGTTTTGCATTCCTTCCATTGTGACAATTTTCTCTTGAGTTTTCTAGAAAACAATACGTTTTAATATCAAAATCGACACTTGAAGTTTTAACTTCATTTGTCGTGACTTAGGTTTAATTTTTTCTTGTAATTTATTAGCTTCCAAAATTACCGCTCTTACGATTCCACACTTCCGAAATTTTTTAATTTTTCTCTTCTGCCGTTACATTTTCTTATAATTTGTTCACTTCGTCTAACATTTCTTTATATGTATTCCACACTACTGATAATGACTTTTCCTGTTATCATCATTACATTACTTTTGGCAGTGGCATAAAAAGTTTTTCAGTATCTGCATTCTGCAGTAGAACGTATTAAAGTGTGAAGTAGGACTTTAGTCTGTTTCGATATTCATAGTAGAAATCAGTTTTGCTAATGGGTGGTCTCTTTCGTTGCATCCATTTTCATAATTTGCTTATAGTTTTAATTAATCAGGTGCCTCTAGATGCTGATCAAAATAAAAAGAAATACCTGTAAAATATTGCAACTGAATCTCGATGAAAATTTGGTTTTCCTTCTGGGTGGATTTTTTCACTTGGAACAAAATCATCGACATTGTCATTATCATCATATGTTATACTAATGTACTCTATCTCCTCTTATCATTCATTCTTCTTGGCAGTGATTCACATATATTTTCATTTTCTTTGTTTTTTTTTTGTTCAGATATTTATTCGATTATTTGAAAGCCAATTTCTTAGGAATTAATACGAAAAAAATTGGCTCATTTAGCTGAAAAACGATATTTAAATTACGATATAAAATTTATAGTATAGCAGATATAAAGCAGCAATTCAAAGTATCCTTTGTAATATAGATTGAAATACTGTGAGCATTTTATCATTTATCCTTCTAGAAAATAGCATGCTAATTGTAAGACAATGAACTGGCTCATAGTTTTAATATTATTTTACCAGCTTGCATTCATTTGGAATGGCTTAGGATGGCTCTATTCAAACGTTATAGTGTTTCAGAAATGTTAAAAGGATCACATAGGTAACTCTACCAATCTTCTAAATGTCTGGTGAAATATGGATCTGAATTTTATCGCGGATCTGAATTGAAATAAGTTCATCGGAATCCTGAAATTAAATGCCTCTAGGAATTCTAATTAATTTACAAATTTGCCTAAAACGATTTGTTGTTTTCATTCATTTTTGAATATGTTCGAAAACTTGCGAATTCGAATTCATATTTATTATTAGTTTAATTATAATTGTAGAATGTTTTTAATAAATTAAGATTCGATCTTATCTTTTTTAGCAAATTATTTTTTCGCTTTATTTTGTTTTCTTTTTGTTATCTTGTAATGTAATCTTATCGGATCTCTACATATATACATATATATATGTATTTATTTATGTTTCTTTTTACATATCGGAACAAGTTGTTTAGTTAGATTAGATTCAAATTAAACCTCCTTCAAATTATATCTTACCTATCTTATGATAAAATTATGAACATACAATTTTATGGCATATCCTTTTGAAATAATTTTCAGACAACAAATTTTAATGGCTTACATATTGTTTTATTTATATTTCTAAATAAAATTGTGTCTTTTTCATTATAATTGTCTAAAGTACGGGTAGTATTATAGTATTAAAATTAATGAATGTTGTTAGCACTGTCATTATTTATTGACATTTAATCGAGACAAAAAAATTATTGCAAATTAACATTTTATTCGGCAATAAAGGTAATGGTTTGATAATGCTTCTTTGAAGGGATGATGATCAAATTATTTCGTTTGGAACGATTGGAATCGTTAATAAAATGATACCATCAAGCAATCGATACGCTAAGATTATTAACTGCTTCATGATAACATCATTGCTAATCTTATCAAATTGAAAAAATTTATCAAATTATCTATCAAACGAAATACCTTACATTTAAATTTCCTGTTTATACCAGCTTTTTTCACTCTTGTATTACTTCAATACGTGTGCTGTAGTCTATCTTTGAATTTTAGGGAAGACATCATCCATTCGAACACTTTCAATTGGTTGTGAAATTCGTTTTAATAAAATCAAACTGAAGAATATAATTTGAGGTTAAAATTAAATTTACTATGATGATCACCGTAATCTTTTCCTTACATATTAAATACTTTAATAGCAATAAGAATAGCTGTTAATAAGTGGGAGAATTTACTATTTAGATGTTTACTATTTTAAAGCAAGGAAAAGCGAAAAGATTGCATTTTCAGAAATTAACATCTAAAATGTTATTAGTTCTTTTCCTTTTTTTTTTACAACGATAACGATAATTTTATGCTAACGATAACGATTTTTACAACGATAACGATAATTTTACACTATACAACGATAACGATAATTTTACACTATACAACGATAATTTTAAACTAACTTATTTGTTCATTTGTTTTTATTTATTTATCCTTTTGTTTTTGTTTATTTATTCATATGTTTTTGTTTATTTATTTTAGCAAAAGAAAAATGAAGAATGGAGAAAGATTTTACTGCAACTGAGAGAGAGAGAGAGAGAGAGAGAGAGAGAGGTTTAAACGTATTCTCTTGGGAATGACTTCATTAAATGCATAAAATTTACTTTTACTCTTTCATTATTAAATAATACCGAAGCACGGAGAGGTAAGAAGTACGAAAGATAACTTCATTTGAAATATTTTATTTATATCTATTAAAAATTGTTTATTTCTTAAGAAAAAATATGTATATATTCGGAAGCAAATTTTGTTAAATAATAGAACGATAAATCATTTTTTCCTAGACCGATGATATATATATATATAATATAGGAGATATTCTCGTTGCTAGGCTCTTTCATTATTGACATTTATTATCATGTTTTATATTATCTATGTAATAATCCTATTGATTATTTACTGTAAATACAAAAGATTTTATGTCTTACTAATATTAGTGTAATTTTAGTATGAATAAAGCATAATTGATAATTAGTATATATTAATATAACGATTATCTCTACAAATTATCCAATGATTCATTTCAATCTACCCTTTATTACTTATAATATTAATGAATATCAAAATGCATTCAAATTTCGCTAGCATATATTTATTTCAAACCGTATAATAATTTTCAACAGATCGATCGTTTTCTATCAAATATTTGAATTCCTTTTTTCCAATAATTTTGATATTAACAAGCGTATTTATTTAATTTTCCTTTTAAATTAATTCTAAAACTCTTCGAGATTAAAGATTGATATTTAATTAGTTTTTACTAATTGAATTGAGTAAGTTAGACTATCCCATCATATCTAACTCTCTTCTCTTCAATCAACTGTTTCCTTTTCGTTTAACATTTTTTACCTGAAATTCAAGAATTTTAGTACCTTTGATATATCAAAAAAAAAAAAAAAAACCAACATACTATTAATTCATTTAGGGTAATTAATAATACAAATTTGTACATCTTTAATTTCTTCAATTTTAATTTATCAAATTTTGATTTAACAAATTTTTGAATTTTCAGAAAGGTAAGAAAAAAATTAAAAGCACAAAGAAGCCAAAAACAGGATATGTATATATATATATATATGATGAAACTAATGAAGTAAATTTAATTAAATTCAGTAAAAAAAAAACAAATGAAAAATGTTACGCTTTTTCTTTGATTTTTTTTAAAGAGCTAAAAAAACAAAGCAGTAATTTGTAAATTAGTTTAAAATGTTCAAAGTTCTTTTTGGTTTTGTTGTAATCATTGAATTGACGAAACTGGTAAGAATAATTTTTGCTTCTCTTTTGTTTTCTCTCCGCAGACTTTAAATTATAATTGTAAATAATTTTGATAGATTAAAAGTGAGTTCTTTTCTTCAATTTGCATAAGTAAAAAAGCTTTTAACAAAAATCAACACAAAATGGGAAATATTATTACTGAATACATTATAAAATTCAGTTGCTTGAAATCATTCATCAATCTTCTTCGTTATATTTTTGTTTATATTTCTCACAAAAGACCAGAAAACCAGATTAAATTTATTTTAAAATTCAAATGAAAAAAATTTTGATTTAAAAGAAGAGGAAGCGAAAGGAAAAGGAAAATGCAAGGAAATTTAGATTGAACAGAGAAAAAAAAGAAGTATCATTAAATGTGTAAAAATTGATAATTGCAAAATGAAAATATGTCCAAAAAGAATCAAAATCATATCAATCAAATTTTTCTAATTCTTATTTGATCATTTATGTGAAACTTTCATATTTAACAATTTTCTTTAAAATTTTCACTTATTAATTAACTAATTAATTAACAGTTCTAATAATAATTACTCGTAACTTTTCATAACGAAAAAAAAAAACCAAAATCTTTCAACTTCAATAATATCTATTTGCAAAGTTAAAAAAAAAAAGAATGAAAGAGAGAATTCTATACTTTCGTGGAACTTTTTAAAACATCAATCATCGATCAAAATCAATTGCCAATCTTTAGCATTGATAAATAACCCGGGGGATGAAAGAGCGGGGAAGAAGTGTAATATGTGAAAATATTTCTTAAATTTTGTTTTACTAAGTCAGTCAGTCATCTTTGTTTCGTTACTTCATTCTCATTCTCCTCTTTTTTTTTTCCTAATGATGTAAGATAGTTTCTTTTTTGGGCAATTCAAGAAGCAATGAAACTTGAAATTGGACGAATTTCCTTTTCGAAGAAAGAAATTTTTTCAATAAAAGTGAAATTTTAAATGATTGCTAAAAATATTATCAATCTTATCTGAAAGGAAATAATCATATCTGATATTATTATCATTTAAAAAGTGACTAACCTTTTTTTTTTGATTAATTATTTAATTTCTTAAATAAATCTATTAAATTGGTTTGTACTATAATTCAACCAAATTATAATAAAAATTATTCGTAGATATAATGGAATATAGCGGTCGCATAATTTCG